ATCTCAAGAGTTGGCAGGGGTCATTGAGAGGGCTTTAAGCTAGGCTTGAAGGGGGAAGGGGATATAGCCAGGCTCACTAGAGAGGAGCCTGGGGGTGGCACCCCAATGTTGGGGGGGAAATCGATAGCCCAGATCAAGTCCATCTACACCAATGCACACAGCATGGTCAACAAACAGGAGGAGCTGGAAGCCATTGTGCAGCAGGATAGCTATGATGTAGTCGCCATCACAGAAACATGGTGGGATGCCTCCCATGACTGGAGTGCTGCAACAGATGGCTGTAAGATCTTCAGAAGGGACAGACAAGGAGGGAGAGACAGTGGTGTGGCTCTGTATGTTAGGGAGTGTTTCGTTTGTACAGAGTTCAATGTTTGTGATGAGGCCGAGTGCTTATGGGTAATGATGAGGGAGAAGGCCAACAAGGCAAATATCCTGCTGGAGGTCTGTTATAGACCACCCAACCAGGATGAGGAGGTGGATGAAGTATTCTACAAGAGGCTGGCAGAAGTCTTTCAATCGTAAGCTCTTGTTCTCGTGGGGGACTTCAACTTAACGGACATCTGCTGGAACTACAACACAGCAGAGAGGAAACAGTCTAGGAGGTTCCTGGAGTGTGTGGAAGACAACTTCCTGACACAGCTGGTAAATGAGCCTACCAGGGGAGGTGCCTCACTTGACGTGCTATATACTGACAGGAAGGACTGGTGGGATAGGTGGTGGTCGGACACCGTCTTGGCCTTAAGGACCATGAAATTATAGACTTTTCAATTCTTAGTGAGGTAAGGAAGGGGGTCAGCAAAACCACCGGAATGGACATCCAGTGGGCAGACTTTGGCCTGTTCAGAACACTGGTTGAGAGAGTCCCTTGGGAGACAGTTCTGAAGGTCAAAGGGGTCCAGGAAGGCTGGGTATTTTTCAAGGAAGAAGTCTTAAAGGCACAGGAGCAGGCTGTCCCCATGTGCCATAAGACAAGTTGGCAGGGAAGACGACTGGCCTAGCTGAACAGGGATCTTTTACTGGGACTCAGGAAGAAAAGGAGAGTTTACCAGCTTTGGAAGAAGGGACAGGCAACTCAGGAAGAGTACAGGGATCTTGACAGGTCAAGTAGAGAGGAAATTAGAAAGGCAAAAGCCCAACTGGAGCTCAACGTGGCCACTGTTGTGAAAGATAACAAAAAATGCTTTTACAAATACATTAACAGCAAAAAGAGAGCCAGGGAGAACTTCCATCATCTATTGGATGTGAGGGGGAACTTTGCCACCAAGGATGAGGAAAGGGCTGAGGTACTTAATGCCTTCTTTGCCTCAGTCTTTAAAGGCGGAGAAAAAAAAAAAAAAAGCCACTCCCCATCATTTATCAGCAGTCCTGGTTAACAGGGGAGGTCCCAGATGGCTGGAGGCTTGCCAGCGTGACACCCGTCTACAAGAAGGGCCAGAAGGAGGATCTGGGGAGCTACAGGCCTGTCAGCCTAACCTCAGTACCAGGGACGATTATGGACTGGTTCATCCTGAGTGCACTCACCAGGCACATGCAGTACAACCAGGGGATCAGGCCCATCCAGCATGGGTCCATGAAAGGCAGGTCCTGCCTGACCAACCCGATCTCCTCCTATAACCAGGTGACCCACCTAGTGGATGAGGGAAAGGCTGTGGATGTGGTGTACCTGGACTTCAGCAAGGCCTTTGACCCTGTCTCTCACAGCATTCTCCTAGAGAAGCTGGCGGCTCATGGCTTAGACAGGTACATTCTTCGCTGGGTTAAAAACTGGTTGCATGGCCAAGGCCAGAGAGTTGTGGTGAACAGAGCTCAATCCAGTTGGCAGCCGGTCACAAGCGGTGTCCCCCAGGGCTCAGTTCCGGGGCCCAGTTCTGTTTAACATCTTTATGAATGACCTGGATGAGGACATTGAGTGCACCCTCAGTAAGTTTGCAGATGACACCAAACTGGGTGGGCATGTCAATCTCCTTGAGGGGAGGAGGGCTCTGCAGAGGCACCTAGACAGGCTGGATTGATGGGCTGAGGTCAGCTGTATGAGGTTCAACAAGGCCAAGTGCCAGGTCCTGCACTTCGGTCACAACAACGCCATGCAACGCTACAGGCTTGGGGAAGAGTGGCTGGAAAGCTACCTGGTGGAAAAGGACCTGGGGGTACTGGTTGGCAGCCGGCTGAATACAAGCCAGCAGTGTGCCCAGGTGGCCATGAAGCCAACAGCATCCTGGCTTGTATCAGGAATAGTGTGACCATCAGGAGTAGGGAAATGATCGTGCCCCTGTACTCCACACTGGTGAGGCTGCACCTTCAATACTGTGTTCAGTTTTGGGTCCTGCACTACAGGAAAAACATTGCATTGCTGGAACATGTCCAGAGGAGAGCAACAAAGCTTTTGAGGAGTCTGGAGCACAAGTCTTGTGAGGAGCAGCTGAGGGAACTGGGGTTGTTCAGCCTGGAGAAGAGGAGGCTGAGGGGAGACCTTGTTGCCCTCTACAACTGCCTGAAAGAAGGCTGTAGTGAGGTGGGTGTTGGTCTCTTCTCCCAGATAACGGGCAATAGGACAGGGGGAAATGGTCTGAAGTTGTGCCAGGGCAGGTTTAGGATAGACATTAGGAAATATTTTTTCACCAAAAGAGTTGTTAAGCATTGGAACACGCTGCCCAGGGAGGTGGTCGAAACCCCATCCCTGGACGTATTTAAAAGCCAGGCAGACGAGGTCCTTAGGGACATGGTTTAGTGGTGGGATGGCAGGGTTAGGTTAAGGGTTGGACTTGATGGTCTTAAAGGTCTTTTCCATCCAAAACAATTCTATCATTCTGTGCAGTGACATCTTCAGGTGAAATATCATTGCACCTGAATTTGACAAAGAGCAGTAGTGGTACTTCACATTGACCAACAAGTTAAATCGCTTCCTCTGGAAGCATTTAGGTGCCATGTGCCTGAACAGCTCCCCTATTGCATAACCAAAAATTCATTCATCATCTGACCATCATTGCACTCAACAGAATATCAAAGGATCACTATACCAGCGTCTATCATAAGACCGAGGTATTTCAGAGTACAGGGTGAGCATGCAATCCCAGAAGAAAGCTGGGGTAGGAAGGAAGCAGAAAGATTTAGACTATTATATTTATAGATTACTGTGGTCAGACTCATTCCATTCCACAGTTCGGGTGCTGCTGAGGAAGGAAATAAAAAAATATCCCCTATCTTAATTTCTTCCGTATTGCCA